TTTTTTTTTTTTTTTTATTTTTAGTCAGGATTTAGGGAGCTTTTTATGACAGCAAAAGTTCTCTGCCACCAAAAAGCAAAGGGACCCACATGCAAAAGCTTCCCTGACTCCAGGAAAGACTTGGATTTAAAGGAAAACCAAGTACTTAAAGGTATTAGATGCAGTTTTCTGTGCCAGCCCTACCTGCCCTCGCATTTCCGCAAACTCCACACACGGACACAGCAAATCCAGCCCTGTCCTCTGGGTAAGGAATGTGCTCACATGCCTCTGTCTCTTCCAGACTTGCACATACTCACAGGAGCTCATTTTATTACTGATTTACTGCTAATCCTCTGGATAAATACCCAGTTTTGATTTCCCACTTGGCTCCCTCTGCCCCGCTAACATTCCGCAGGCATGCACCCAGCTGCCAGACTGGGAGTTGCTCCTTGGCACAGCTCTCGCTCTTTCCCCCCCCCTGTATTTTCTGTAGGAATTGCTTGACCCGTCACGTTCCCAGAGCCTGTCAGCAGAGCTGTGAGAGGATCCCTGCCATCTCCAGAGCCTGTCAGCAGAGCTGTGAGAGGATCCCTGCCGTCTCCCTACATTTTTCACATCCAGAGCCGGTCAGTCCCGGGGGGCAGCCGCACTGCCCGGTGACGTGGTGGCAGGGCACTCCCAGGGGACAGGTGCAGCGGCTGGCACAGTTCTTCCCAAAGGAACCTGGCAGGCAGGCTGTGGGAAAACAAACATTGGGATGTGAGCCTCCTGCCTGGGTCTTAAGTTATGGTTAATGCCTGAAAGGCATCATAGCCCCAGGGGCAGCCCCTGCCCCAGTGCTCGCCCACAGTGCTGAGCCAGCCCGGCAGCACCTTGTGTCACAGTCTCAAAATGTTTTGCCACAATTTGTAATTCTTATTAAAAATGAAGCTTCCCTCCCCCCCAGACTCTGCAGGAGCCTCAGTTTCCCTGGGTTCCCCCTGCCCAGAGATGTTCCTCACCCTTCTCACAGCGCCGGCCTCTCCAGCCACGGGGGCAGTCACAAGCGCCGGTGACGTGGTGGCACGAGACACTGTCCCCACAGTCACAGAGCTCCTCACAGCGTGCCCCAAACCGCCCCTCTGGACAAGCTTCAGGGATGAAAATGGGAGAGAGGACAAGTTACACCCAAAAAAAGTGCCATGGGAGCTTTTTGCCAGCAGTGTCTGTAGGCACACACCTCACTGTGTGCTCACACAAGCAGCCTGAAATACAGCCTTGGACAAGGACAGGACTCCAGCTTGGGTTTTTTAAAATTTAATATAATTTCTTCATTTGGTGTGGGTTTTTTCATTAATTTATATTGAAAGAAATTCTAGAACTGCTTATCACTGCCTGGTACTGAGGGACCTTGCTGCTGGGGGCTGTAGGTGTGGGGACGCTGGGAGGGGACACTGTGCCTTGGGATGAGGCAGGATCCAGTGAGGTGAGTTGTGTGGCCAAGCCTCAGCTGCCAGGCAAGCTGTTTCCAGCCTCCTGAAGGGAAAAACATTCCCAGCAAGAAACCTGAGAGTGGCTGGTGGCAGCTCCCTTGTGCCAGACTTCAGCTGGCAAGTGCTGGCACTGAACTTTACACCCAGATATAAGGATGTGCCAAGAGATATCGTGACTCCTGAAAGGGAAGAAGCTTGTGGGCGTCTTCTTGGTGTGCTGATACGTGATGAAGTCCCTGTTGCTGCTCTGAAGGCCAAGAGCCTTTTCAACACTTCCTCATTGGAAGGGGATTGCCAGGGGGTGTGTGTCACCTCTAGGCACAGGAACCACCGAGGGACTGATGTAATGATCTACTGGGACTTGGGACCAAAGCCAGGCCCTGAGGGTCAGTGTGAAACAGGGACACACAGAAGGAAGAATGGAAAGGAAATGATCCTCTGTTGCCCTTATAATAAATGGGAGAGATGAAGATCCTTACTTGGCACTTAGGTTTCACCACAGAGGATTGCTGTCCTGCCTTCAGCCCCACTTGGAACTGATGCCTGGGGGTCTGGGCCCTTAGGAGCCCCATCCCTCTCCCACCAGCTGCTGTGCAGCCTCTGTGTGTGCACCACCACTTTCAGGACAGCCTCCAGAGGAAAGGAACTAGACAGGGTTGGAACTGGAGGATCTTTAAGGTCCCTTCCAACCCCAACCGCTCTGCGATTCTATGGAAGGAGAAAGCACAGTAGCGGGCAAAACCAGGGCACCTGACAGCTCTCTGCAGTGCTGAAATCAGAATTTTATGTCTTTGCTTAAGCCCTCCCTGGCCCCCAGACCCTCCCTGTGCAGCACTGGGTGCTGACACAGCCATCGATGCCCACGGCCAGGCCCCCGTGCCCCACTTACGGCTCTCGCACTTGTCCCCCGTCCAGCCGGGCTGGCAGAGGCACTGCCCCGTCCGGCGGTCACACAGCCCCCCGTGGTGGCACTCGCAGCGCTGCTGGCAGTCGGCCCCGTGCTGGCCCTGGGCACAGGCTGGCACAGGGGCACAGGGTGAGACACTGTCCTGTACCCCCCGTCCCAGCTCCCACCGTTCCAGCACCCACCACCCCACTCACACGCACCGCCAGCCCCTTGCACCCCACCCCTGGCCCTCGGAGCAAAACCAGTCCAGACCAGGACACGTTTGCCCCGGGGCTGGTTTCCTGGCTGCTCCTCACCCAGCTCGCAGGCCAGCCCGGTCCAGCCCGCGGGGCAAGCGCAGACCCCCGTGGCCGGGTCACACGTGCCCCCGTTCTGGCAGAGGCAGCGCTGGAGGCAGTTCTTCCCAAAGGAACCCGACGGGCAGGCTGAGGGAAAAGGAGGACAAACGTGCCAGTCAGGGCACACCTCAAGGCAGGCACAACACTGCAGCAGCCGCCAGAGCCATGGGTGGATGGCCTGGTACAAACCAACACCGTTATTGCCGCAGTGAGAGGAGCCCACAACCCCCTGAGGCTGCTCAGTTGCCCACAGGATGACATTTGGCAAGAGGCAGTGGCATTCTACCCCAGGAATGGCACTCCACCCGCCCAAGGGAATGGCATCCCTACACAGGCTGGCAGGGGAAGAGGCTGGGTTGGGAAGCATTACCTTGCTGGCACGTGGGTCCCATCCAGCCGGCAGCGCAGAGGCAGCGGCCGCTGACGTGGCTGCAGGTGGCATTGTTGAAGCAGTGGCAGGTCTGGCTGCAGTTCTGGCCATACCTGTTCTCCTGGCACGCTGAGGGGGAGCAGAGCAGGCAGGACTGTGAGGCAGCAGGTAGGAATTACAGCAGCCAAGCTCCTGCCAACCATCCCAGGGGCTGGGAGAGGACCCAGCGCTGGTGCTCGGCTGCTGTGTGAGGTGGTCTTATGGTGCTAAGGAGAAATAATGTGTCCTACAGGCGATGACACCCTGACACTGTTATCATCAGAGTTACATCCTTTTAATCTATTTAGAAGTAGTTTTACTGAATGCCCAAGCCCTCATTGCATCCAACCACAGTGTGCTCAGCCAGAGCCTCCCAGTCTGAATCCAAATACTCCTCTGCCATGCAGAATTAAACTCCACCCAGAGAAAATCACAGATGGGGAACGGTCACCCAAACCTCTGGTTCCTATGACCTGGCAGCAAAGACACAGCACTGGCTCCAGAGTGCCCATGGAGGGCAGCTCTGCCTCTCTCCATCCCACCCCAGCACAGAGGGGGGTGCCTGGCCGCAGACACCCACCCTGGTCACAGCGGGGGCCGGTCCAGCCGGGGGGACACTGGCACTGGCCTGTCACAGGGTCACAGTGGGCACCGTTGAGGCAGTCACAGCTCTGCCGACACTCCAGTCCGTAAAATCCATCGGGACAGGCTGTGGAAAACAAAGGAGAAATCCTCACAAAACGACTATACAGAGCTGGAAACCTCCCCGCAGAAAAGGTGCTTCTTGGCGGCCTTTTTGGCTGATATAAGGCTGCACTGGTGTGATGACCACTGTGAAGGGCTCCCTCCTGGCAGGGCAGCAGATATTAGATCTATATCCACTCTGGACATTCCAGGTACAAGACAGAACTGTGGTGGATCAGGAGACAAATGCCATGAGGTTCCTGACCACCAAGAGACTGCACAGGCTGGTGGTGGGATCCCTTCACCAGGGACCCTTTCAAGAGGCTGTTCCAAGATCCTGTGTGCAACATGTACACACAGGGACCAGGGCAGCTGTGCATCCACTGCATTCCCTCCTTTTTTCATTTTTTTTCATTTTGTTAGTCTTTTTTTTTTTTTCTAACCATTTTCCCTCCAGAATTAAAAGCAGAGACAGCAGCTTGAGGACATGTGGTTCACCCCATGACCATCCTGAGGGATTCCCTTTGCTGTAACAGGATAGTAAAGTCAGACAGGGAGCACAAACCCTGTGGGATGGAGGTGTGGGTCGTGGTCTCCAGGTGCAGGTACTCACCGTGCTCACAGAATGTTCCTCTCCAGCCTGGGCTGCAAGTGCAGGCCCCGCTGACATGGTCACAGGCTGCCCCGTTCTCACACTGACACTGGTGCCGACAGCTCAGCCCAAACCATCCTTCTGGGCACTCTGGAAAGCAGAAGGAAATGAGACTGAGGAGCCTGTCCTTTCCAGGGTCCCAGGGAAGCTATGCTATGGCAGGGGACCAGGTTCTGAACGGAGTAAGAGTATCTGGCAGCTGCTTTTTTATAACGACCAGCGGGTTCTACCCTGCCCCTTACAGATATGTACCCACATCACCCCACCACCCTCGGCACGGAGCCAATCTGGCATCAGGACTGGGAGGGCATCACAGCTCGGGCATGGGGACTGGAGCAGACCGATGCCTGTCCCTGGAGCACATCTGCAGCAGCTGGCTGGGTGTAAGGGCACAGGGGCAGCACTCACTGTGCTCGCAGTGGCCGCCCATGTACCCGGCATCGCAGAGGCACTGCCCGGTCTCGGCGCTGCAGCTGCCGTCGCTGTTGCTGCAGTTGCAGGCGTGGGCACAGTCGGGGCCCCAGCGCCCCACGTCACAGGCTGGAACACAGGAGAGACCCCATCACTTGTGTACCCCACCTGCTCGGCCTCCACGAGAGCACAGAGCGGGCACAGCGCTGCCTTCCCGTCCCTCACAACGTTCCCTTGGGCACAAACACAGCTGGAGGTCCCTGGGCAGAGAGCCCAGGGGGACAGTGAGGGCGGGTGCCACGTTGGCTCACATTTGATGTGAATTCACTCTGCAAACCGGCCTCCTGCACAAAGGCCAGAGGCACCAGCTGGACAGAACAGGGAAAAGGAAAGGATTCCAGAGAGATTTCCCTGGCAGAGGTAGAGCACAAGGATGAGAATGGAGCAATGACAACACAGATTGGCACAGCAGGTCAGTGTGGTCCAGGAGTGATGCTGTACCTCTCTGACAGTTGTGCCCCATCCAGCCAGGTGGGCAGCTGCACATCCCCGTCACCGGATGACAATGTCCCTCGTTCCCACAGCTGCAGCTCAGCTGGCAGTCGGAGCCAAACCAGCCTGGAGGACACACTGCCAAGGGAAACAGGGACTGAGTGCAGATGGCTGCTGGAACCCCATCCTGACAGACCTGAGGGCACCGTGGTGCTTGGGCAGAGCCGCAGGCACTGACACTGGCACTCTGAGCACGGGTGCTCAGCTCTGGGCTGGACAGGACAGGGGACTCATCTGCCTCCCTTTCTGCTGACACAGAAAGAACCTCTGTGGAGATGGGACTAGAGGGACTTTAAGGGAAGCCCCCAGCCCATGCTCCAAGGAATGAGGTGACAGAGCCGTGCCCAGTGCTCAGCCTGCTCTGCTGAGCGCGGCAGTGCCCAGTCCATTGCTGGGTGCTCTGCTCGCTGGAGCAGGTGCTCCAGGTCCACCGAAATAGCCCTCATTCCAGCTGGAGATGGACATCCCGGCTGAGGGACCTGCTGCAGCCCACACTCACCGTCCTGGCAGCGCTGGCCAGTGTAGCCGGGTGGGCACACACAGGCTCCTGTGGCGGGGTCACAGCGGGCATCGTTGGCGCAGTCAGGGCAGATCTCCTGGCAGCCCGGCCCCCAGCGACCCCCAGGGCAGGCTGGAGCATGGGCAGAGAGAGGGGAGCATTAGGATCAGAGCCCAGGTGGGGGCTGTTTTCTGGGTTTTCTGGGTTTCCTTTCTCCTTCATGCAAGACATGGACTTTTGTTCAGCAACATGTGGCTACCAGCGAGCACAGCGTGGCTTTGCTTGTTCCACAAACAGTGTGCAAGCCCTTGGTAAGTGCTATTCTGAGCTCACTCCAGGACTTCCATGCCAGTTTTGGATTTGCATCCACTCGTGGGGAGCTTCAAGGGCTTCTCTCTGGGAAATGGTGTTGCTGGCACAGGGTCCCTGCAGCTGCTGTCACACCATGGACAGCACGTCAGTGCTCCCAGACCTGCTGTGAGCTGCACAGGAGGAGCAAAAGGCTAAGAACTGCTAAAACCAGGGCAAGAATCCTTCTCCAACTGCTCCTAAGCTGCTCCAGGGCCTGGAAAAAAAGGCAGCTCAAAATGTATGGTAAGCACTGTGCATGTGTGGTTTTACTGCTCAGCCAAACCCTTCAGAGCAGGACATCTATATGTGACTAATGCCTTCCAGCTGCTGTAATAATGTACAATCATGAAAAAGCTTTTAATTTCGGATTCTCTAGTTTTCCAGCAGCTAAGGAGTAATCTGGTGAAGGCAATTAAAAACACACATTGGTAAGGGAAGATTCCTCTCCTATGTTAAGGACTGCAACAACTGAAAATATCTTCATCCTTTTCATCGTGCTTCCCTCGGCTTCGACAGCGGAGCAGAGCTGGCCCAGGCTGTTGTTTAGAACTTACCATCAAAAGCTGCACTTTCTCTAATTTTCCATGAAGATTATTCTAATTGCACTGCGTATTTTTGAAACTAACTTTAGCAGAAGCAAAATATCAGCTCTACACCCAAATCCCTCCCTCAGCACGTTCCGCTCTGCTCACCTTGGCCGCAGTCGTGTCCCATCCAGCCGGGCGGGCAGTGGCACTGCCCCGTGCTCCGGTCACAGGGAGCTCCTCCACAGGCACAGGGCCACCTGCAGCCCGCCCCAAACGTCCCCTGGGGGCACTCTGCAGGGAGAACAGCAGGGTGAGAACTGCCCCCCCCCGAGGTGCCCCAGAGGTTTTTACCAACCCGGCCCCACAGCTCAAAGGAGTCTGCAGGGAATAGCCCGGCTGTGAGAGGTTCCCACACTGCCAGGGAGGACTGTGCCCGTGATTTAGTGGGCATGGTGGTGCTCAGTCAAAGGCTGGACTTGACAATCTTGGAGGTCTCCAATCTGTGGACAGGACTCTGCAAAATAATGACTTCCCAAGCCACGCTGTTCTCTCTGGGCTGGGGTGCAGAACATGGAGAGGGGAGTCCCAAACTGAACCACCTCTGACTTTTGTAAGATCCCGTGAGGGCTTTTACCTCCCCACCTGAATGTCTACAGGATCTGGGCACCAGGATTTTAAGAAGCAGCCAGGTTTGCAGCAGGACACTGATGTAAAGGAAAGAAGAAGGAGCATCCTCATCCATATGAGGAATAGGCACTTTTCCTTCCCTCTTGTGTCCCGTGACACAATTTAGCAGCCAGGTAGTGACGTGCAGACCGAGGGGCTCAGACCCAAAGATCCTTCAATCCTCTCTGAGGCTCCCCCAAGAGCTCCACTCTCACCAAAACCAGTGTTCTGTAAGGCTTCAGCAGAGGCAAACACACCGGCACAAACCAGGGAGGAAACGCACACCAGCGCCTCGACTTCCAGTGACACAGTGGAGGTTTTGTTATTCCTCCTCTTTGCTAATTGATGGCAGATGTTTGTCTTCACCCTTTAATAATTTCCAGATCCCAACAACAGCCAACAGCCTACTATTTCTATACAAATATTTGTGTTATTTCCTGTGACTCCCCCCTACAGGCTTTAGCTCCTTTCTTACTCTTTTTAAAAATATCCCAAGCGGGAGCGCCCAGCTCGCCAAGGCGCCGGGGGCTCCGGGGGCTCCAGGGGCTCCGGGGGCCACAGTGTCCCACCACAGGGGGCTCAGGGCTGCCAGACCCTGCCAGGGACACAGCCCTGCAGGAGCTGCTGCCTTCTCTCCTCCTATGGAGCTCCGGTAGCACTTGCATTGGGATTTTTGTGACTGTCTGCAGCTCTCGTTCTGACCAACAGCCCATGTTCTGTGGGAGATGGGGCTCTGCACCATCACCCTGTGCTGGCAGATTAATGAGGCTCACAGTTGTAATTTCTGGGCTGGGGTGATGGAGTGTTTGGCTAAACAGCAGTTAGTGCAGCAACTCCCAAGATGCTTGAATCCAAGTCCAGATTCTGGCCACTGCCAGCCTCTCCATGCAGTGTCTTCTACTGCAGTCTGTCTTCAAGTGTGGACTTCAAGAGTCCAACTTTTTGCATTTTCTGTGGGACCCAACCAGCTGAAGTGGATTCAGGAGGATCCAGCCCCACAAGAGCAGGAGGAGGTTGATTTTTCAATCTCTGCTCCTCTCTGTGGTTGGCAGAAGTCATTCTTTTCCAAGCACTGTGTTCATGTTTTGTAATCACCTCGTGCCAATGACTCACTGCCTTTAGGTTCACTCAAAGCACCTTTGTCTGAACAAAGTCAAGCACTCTAAAACCCCATGTGCAGAGCTGCCCTGCACGGTCCTGCCTTACCTTGGTCACAGTTCTCCCCGTGGTACCCTGGGGGACACTCCTTCTGGCACTCTCCAGTGACAGGGTCACAGGACACTCCCGGGGAGCAGCCACACTTCTTCTTGCAGCCATCCCCATAGTAGCCAGGGTCACAGCCTGCGAGCAGCCACAGTTCAAGAGAAAGGTCTGGAATTACTCCTTGCCCCGGCAGAGCTGCAGCCCCGGTTGCTGAGCACCCTCCTGAGCTCCACCACCAGCAGTTACAGGTGTCCCCACCCCACACAGGTCCTGGTGACAGCTGAACGTGACCAAGTGTGAGCAAGGTGTGCTCCCAAGGGAACGAGAGGTGAGACAGCCCGGGAGGGCGGAAAGCAAGCAGAGCTTTTCCCCCAAAAAAATAAATGCGGGAGAAAGAGGTTGTGGGAGGAGGAAGGGGGATGCTCCAGGAACACCCCGGGGCACTCACTGGTCTCACAGCGCTCGCCACGATAGCTGGGCTTGCAGTGGCAGGAGCCGTCCCTCCTGTCGCAGTCCCGCGTGTGGGGCTGCACACACCGACACTCCTCCGAGCAGCCCGCGCCGAACGCCCACTTGGGACAGGCTGGAGGGAGGGAAAAGCCGGTCAGAGACCCAGGGCGAGGCACAGAAACCGCCTCCCAGGGACGGCCCTTCCCAGGGACAGTGCCCAGGAAGGCTGGGATGCGAGGACAGCGAGGATGAGGACAGGCTTACCCAAGTGGCAGTACCGGCCGTACAAGCCAGGATCGCACAGGCAGGCTCCGTAAATCCGATGGCAGCGACCCCGGTTGGCACAGTTGCACTTTTTCCTGCATTGTTTCCCAAAAAATCCTTTAGGGCACCCTAGTAATAGAGAGAGATTTCCTGGGAAGATGAGCCAGTTTCAGATGGACATTTGGCTTTCAGTAGAAAAACACACCAGAATCAGAGCTGTGTGAGGCCAGGGATGCACCAGGGCAAGGGATGCAGGCAGGGTGAGACCACCAGATTCCCTGTATCTGCTCAAAATCAGCTGGCCCTGTGCAGTGTCACAGGGGATGCCACTTGCTGCCAGTCCCTGCATTGCTTCCAGGGCACCCATCAGCTCTGCACTCACCAGTTACTGTGCTGCTGGGCCAGAAATAACCCACCCACAGGGCTCAGAGGGGTCAAGGCTTTTCTGTGTGAGAAAGTAACCCATGAGGCTGCTCCTATTGATAAGCCACAGTGATATTTGCACTATTAAGGGAATAAAATTATTATTTTTTCTCTGTTATGCAAAAGATCTGGATATTGGAAGCACATGGCAGACAGGCTGTGCCAGCAGAAGACTCTGGCCAGCAGCTGCCCAGCAGCATGTGCCTTCTCCCTACAAACAGAGGAGCAGAGGAAATGCCACCCTGGGACAACAGAGCAATTCTGCATCATTTATTTTAATTTTACCTTCCTGTTTTCTCTCTGTCCCCCTCAATCACCCCCTTCCTTCAGAAAGGAAAGGTCGGGGTACCTCGTGTTCATTTACATTCTGCTTCCCTCTCCTTCAGTAATAGTTCCCATATGCTCCCAACATGTGACTGAAGTCCTTTTGTCTGCATCTCTGATTGTCTCCCTCTTTCTGGGTTTTTAGATTATGTCCCCCAGATTTTAACCCTTTGGGAGCGAGAAACGAACCCCACCAGCAGTGACACCTCCTTTGGGTACTGTGGGTAACTACTGTCATCACAGCTTTTCAGGGCTTACGGTTTTCTTCAGGGGAGAATACCTCCATGGTTTCCATGGAAATTTACCATGGAAATTGTGGCTTTGACATTCTTTTCTATGTCTGCCCCTGAATGTCCCATGAAATACAGATGTTGGCCCCCAGTCACCACTGTGTAGCAAACAGGGTCTTCCAGTGTAAAGACAAGCACACTCCCCAGAGCACTGCTCTGAGGGTGAAGAGTCTCCTTTACCACTTTTTCCTTACTAAAATGACATTTTTCCACACAAAACTCAGTGACCAACAGAGTCGCATGGAGCAGGGATGTGTCGGAGCAGCTCACACTGGGATGGTTCAACAAGAGTGTTGAAAGATGCTGTCAGTGAACAGCTACAAGGGGACCAGCATAGGGCATCCTGTGGGAAACGCTTTCAGGCTTCAGAGAAGCACAACTGGGACATCTGAGAGTGGCATCAGAGATGGCCAGAACAGCCATTTACCAAGAGATGGCAAACCCTCTGCTAACACACTGAGAGAACCAGAAAAGAACCACCTCCACCAGCTGGGGAGCAGCACTCACAGCTGGCACTCCGGGAACTTTTCCTCATGGAAAAGCATTGCAGGGAGAAAAGAAAACTGCTGGGGAGGGTCCCGGGTTTGGTGTGTGACTTCGGGGCCCCACAGAGGTGCCATCCTGCCTTTTGGCAGCGAGGTGAGACCCCCCACGAGTGCTGTGCTTACCGTCCTGGCAGAGCTCCCCGGCCACGCCGGGCGGGCAGCGGCAGGCGCCGGTGGTGGGGTCGCAGGAGCCGCCGTTCTGGCAGCGGCAGCTCTGGCTGCAGTTGCTGCCGAAGGTGCCGGCCGGGCAAGCTGGGAAGGGAGAGGCACACGGGGCTCAGCCGGCGGCCGCAGCCCCCCAGGGCTGCCCCAGCCCCCCAGGGCTGCCCCCACAGCACACCCGGGGCAGGGGGAATGCAGTTCCCTCGCTGCTCCAACACCACTCACTCTGGTTGCAGAGGGTGCCCGTCCAGCCCGCCGGGCAGTCACAGCCGGTGCCCTCGGCGTTGCAGGTGGCTCCGTTGGCGCAGTCCTCGCAGGTCAGGCTGCAGTCGGGGCCGAACGTGCGCTCCAGGCAAACTGCAACGAGAGGCACCGTGGGTGAGAACCTCCCCGAGGCGGCCGCAGCATCCCTGGGAGTCCGGGCAGGGAAACCCCCGTGTTCCGGCTGCGGCAAAGCCAAACACAGGAAAGGCACTCGACAGGTCTGGGGGTGTGTTCACCCAACACAAACAAACTCTGAAGAGTTCCAAGCATGGCATTGGTCCCTGCTGCCCAAAAATGCCCACCGAATTTCTCTGAAAGCGTGTGCTCCCCTCTTGCTTCCATCTCTTCCTCCTCCTCCTCCTCGTAGTCGTCGTTGAAGAGCTGGGTGAATTCATCTCGCAGGATGGCGACGTGAGGGATCGGGCGGATAACGGGGCGCCGACCATCCAGAGCTTCCACAGTGTCCTCCAGGGCTGGAAAAGGGGAGGTGCAGAGCTAAGGAGTTCCAGGCCATGTGGCCCTGGCTCGGCCGGGTGGCAGAGGGGAGGTGCCCGTGGCCCCACGGACAAGGCACTTACAGATGCAGCTCCTTCGGTCTTCGTCCAGCCTGTGTCCAATCTCACAGCCACACTGGAAGGACCCTGGCTGGTTCTGGCATGTGTGTTCACACCCACCGTTGTTTGAAGAGCACTCATCCACATCTACAAAACATGGGAGACTCCGGCGTAACGGGAGCAGTCCCCCTGTGCAGGACAGGGGCCCGGACATGCATCTGGCCATGCAGCAGTGAGCAGGCTGATGGCATCCTCTCTGCTAAGTATGTGAAGCCATTGACTCTAAAAATGGAGTGAAACCACTTCAGGGATTAGGGATACCTAGGTTTCAACATAAAATGTGCTCCATTTCAGTTGCCATCTACACTAATTGTGTAGAAACAGGGGGGTGAGTTTGGCTCTTCCCCTGTGAAATGTCCTTGAGAGCTCTGGTAGTGAGAACAACTTATTAGGGGGATTTTTCCCTACATTCTCCCTCCTAAGAAAGTGACTCATCAGAGAGCTGGCAGGGAAACTGGTATGGGTTGGGAGAAGCTGGAAGAAATGCCTGGCTGCTTGCAACCAGGTAGGACAATTTCTTGTTCTTTTAATTAAAAGCTTCATTAGTCAGTGTCTCAGCAGAGAGGGTTTGCTTGGAGCCCAGTGAGAGGCTGGTACTCACCATCACACCCACAGCCATCCGTGCTCAGCCTGTACCCAGCATGGCAGGAGCACTCGTAGCCCCCAGGGTAGTTGTAACAGTCTTGGTGACAACAGTGAGAACCAGTGTCACACTCATTGATATCTAAATAAAACACAAAGGGTGTTAATACACTGTACAGTGGTGACAGGAACTGTTAAATTACTCCCTGACCAGTTCTGGTGAGCTTTTACTGAGCCAAATGCCAAGCCAGTATTCCTGAGTTCCTCTTGAATCATGAATCCTCAAGGCCTGTGGGAAGTTCACTGTGGTTCCCAGTTTGAGACTGTTTTTACAGGCTTTTTGTGCTTACACACAAGGTGATCCCAGCTGTAACACTGACTCTTGCTTAGAGCAGTTTCATCAGGGAAAATCTAATTAGTTTGGAAATCATAATTGCTGTCCAAGTATATCTTGAGTGGAGGTTTGAGGATGTCTCCCTTCACATCTGTTTCTATCCTAGCTAGTGTGCTAGTGCAGCCAAGAGAGACCCTCAGAGTTACCTGAGATGTGCCTGTAACTCAAGGTCTGGACCTTTCCCTGCCTTACCAGTGCACGACTTCTGGTCCTCCTCCAGCCGAAAGCCGAAGTTACAGGTGCACACTGGGCCAGAGCTGGTGTGGTGGCACACGTGGGAACAGCCCCCGTTGTTGGCTTCGCAGCTGTTCACAATCTCCATCTCTATCCCTGGAAAAGGCAGACTGGTTAGGGCGCCGTGTGACACATCTGGCCTGTGCCTGCCCTCGGTGCCGCGCCCCAGCCAGCTCCTGGCACCGCATCGCTGCTGAGGAGGGGGATCTGCAGTGGGAAAGGATGGAAATAGCTCTGCACAGAGGCCACTGCTGGGCTGGGAAACGGGGTATAAAAAGAAACCGAGGGATCTCACGCAGCCTCTTAGGGACGGAGCTGTGGAGCAGGCTCTGGACAATCTCTGGGATGAACAGGCTGCGGATGAAACTGCTCCCGCTCCTGCCAAGCTGCAGCGTGTGCTGCCAACCAAAAGTTGGCTCAGCCTCAGAGCAGAGCTGTTCTGGTGCCAGGGAGAAATGGGAGCAGCAGAACACAGCTAACTGGGGAAACATCCAGATGCCTACAGCGAGAATCGTTAGTTCCTGACATGTCAGAAATGGTCGGCACGAACATCAATCGCAGCCATAGATCATCCCAGCTTGGCAAGGGTTCCGTAAACTTGTCTAGTTAATTAAGCTTTCTTAAACTAAAAGGAACTTGTTTCACGGAGTTTGACTCAGTCCTGAACCTCAGGAAAACAATTTCTGCCTTCAAGAACATTGAGTTTTTCATGTGTTCAGGCCCAAGGAGGATAAAGAAAGGCAGCTTGATGCTTCCCAATGGATCTGTGCTTGTCAGAAACAAAAGATGTGCCACAGTGGACTATATTCCAGAGTTCACAACATGATTATCATCCCTTTCTTTCCCTTTCTTATTAATGCAGCACAAGCAAGGTTTTGCACAAAAGAAACATGCAGAAAGGGCAGGGAGAAACACTTCTCATGTGGGAAGGCTGCTTTGTTCTGTAGTTGGCCCCAGAGCAGTGTCAATGATCATGGTGTGAGGCCAGCCATGTTCCTAGGAAGGGAGTTGTGTACATCTTTAGGCTCTTAAATACCATCTCATCAGCCTGGTTCCTCACAGTGCTCTGTGTGATGCCTTTCAAGACTCATTTATGGCCTGCAAAGCCTTAGCCTTGTACCCTTGGCAAGGTCCAGCTGCACAGGTGGAGCATCAGAGCTCCCAGTAACACCAGCTGCCAGCACTGGGACTGCCCCTGTGGTGTACATCTATAAGGGGCTGCTGGTGCTGATAGCTCTGGTTCAGCCTGTCCTGAACGTGCACCAGCTGAACAAAGCTGCACAGACAGCCTGGCTCACTCTTGCATCACAGTGTTTATTTCTTTCCTTGATGGGAACAGATGTGATCCCTTCACTGGCCCAATTCCTCCTCCAGTGACACATCTGCAGCTGACTGAACTTGTCCAACGAAGTCCCCAAGAGCAGAACTTGGCCTGTTTGGAGCCAAATGGCCCCAAATCAATTGCCTAAACCAGCTAAAGTAGCTTCATGACGACTTTTAAGCTCAGACCAAGTTTTTTATCTTGGTGGGGGAGTAAACAGCCCCAAAGCTGCCTGTGAAACTCTTCAGCAAAGACTGCTCTGACTTGGCCCTGACAGTTCAGGGAGGACAGTGACAAACACGTGCAGAGGCCGCCCCGTGTCCCGCAGTACTCACGGTAGCACTGCTTGCCATCCGCCCCCAGCTCGTAGCCCGGGTTACAGGTGCACTTGAAGGAGCCCCGTGTGTTCAGGCACTGGTGTGAACACATGGCCAGTCCAGTCAGGCACTCGTTCACATCTGTGAGAGGTGAGCAAACAGTGAGCAAGGCAGGCTGAGCCATAAACATTCTTCCAAAGGGACTGCTGTTACTAACTTTTGAGGGTTTTTAACTGGTTTTTCGCACCCTGAATTCTTCACTGGGGTCCAGACCAACAAAGACACAGTTAAGAATTCAGAATTGCTGTAGAGCTCCCCAGGAAATTGGATCACATGAAACTGGGGGCTGCTGCAGAGAGCTCGAGCCGGGCTCCTGGATGGACCCCAACTGAGCGATCCCTGCCGTGTGCATCCCTCTGCCATGTTCACACAGAACACCCCCCCAGCCCCTGCGACACAGGAGTGTCCCTCCCGGGCAGGAGGGCAGGAGGGCAGGAGGGCAGGAGGGCAGGAGGGCAGGAGGGCAGGAAGGCAGGAAGGCAGGAGGGCAGGAGGGCAGGGCACTCACCCTCGCAGGCCTTGCCGTCGGGCCCCAGGCGGTAGCCGGGGTGGCACTCGCAGCGGGCGCGGCCGCGGTGGCCGTGGCAGCGGTGCTGGCAGCCCCCGTTCCCGTCGGCACAGGGGTTCCTCACTGCAGGGCAGAGCAGAGCAGACAGGCAGCATCAGTCCACACACACCCCCTGGCTCTCATGGCTCTGTGGGAGAACGGAGCCCCAAGCAGCTGTGCCCGGCAGAGGAGCTGCTGTCTGTGAGAGCCTGTTCTGCACCGGGCAGAGAATCCCTGCTCCTGCCCCTTAACTGCTCCATGGGGCAGGAGGATTTACACGGTGAGAGATCCTGTAAAACCCTCCCAGCAGAAGCTTGGCACGGGCACATCCCTCTGCAGACATTACGCAGCAAGTGCTGGCAATTTGCTCCGAGTGCTCCTACCCAGAGCTTTGCCAACCTCTGACCTGCTCCAGGACCGGGACAGATGCTCCAAACCCCTCCAACTTCTGCGTTTGTAATATCCCAGTCGTTCCTTTTCCCTTAGCAACTTCACAGCTAAAGACTTCCCCCCTCCTGCCTCTTGAATGACAGCTGCTATGAATGACGAGATCAACCTTGTGCTCTGTCCCCTTTGGCTTCTCTCCCTCCTGAGCCAGGAGCAGGTCAGCCAGAGAGCTGTCTCCAGGCTGAGGGAGAGGATCCCATCCTGCTGCCACACGCTGCTGATCCTCCACTCTCACAGCAGCCTGTGCCTTCAGACAATTTCATTTTTGTTGGCCGCGCTCCTCCAGCTCTTCCTATCCCTTGGAATAAGCTGCAGGATATGTCCATGACAACAAAACACACAGAGTTTTTACTGGAAACCCCCCCAGTCTGATCTGCTGGACATCTGAGCGTGCCGGTGTGTGCTCCCTGTCCCTCAGCTCCCAGATGGCAGCTCTGCCCCCCCTGCCCCCCCGTGCCCCCGGCACTCACGGACACAGCGCTTCCCGTCCTCCTGCAGCTGGAAGTTGTGGCGGCACTGGCAGCGGTGCTGTGCCAGCGTCACCTGCACACAGTCGTGCTCACAGCCACCGTTGTTCAGGGCACAGGAGTTCACAGCTGTGGGGCAGAGGGACACGTTTGTCACAAAGAGAGTGGCACCCAGATGAGCCTCCTGAGCAGGACCAGGGCAAACTGCACACTGTTAAGACGTAGAGAATTTAAAACTGGGGCACATTCAGCCTGTGCTCAAGTAACAAGTTCATGGCCAGCCTCACAAACAAGAAGTGGGAGGTGTTGCTGCAAAAACCTGTGGGCAGTGCAGGAGAGGCCACTCAGCCCCGTGCCAGAGAGACCCTGAGGATGGGGACTCTGTTCTCTCAAGGCAAGATCAGCTCAACAGTGTTGGGCAGGAACTTCAAATAATTCTTTTTCACCATAAGAGATCCCATTGCTCCCCTGGAAGGTGAGACCAGGACACAGGGGTCTGGTCTAGGTCCTGTGCAGCATTACCTGGCAGGGAAGCCAGGACTCAGCACGTTTCCTGCCAGGCACCCACCCTCTCCAAAGGGCCCCGTGTCAGCGAGCAGGTTTCTCATGTCAGCACATTACTGCTGGAATTCCCATCACTCTGTTCCAAGGCAGTCACTGCAGGTGCAGTGCCACAGCCAGTTCAAGTCATTACTGCCCAGGGAGCTGTGTTCAGGCATATTTAGGTTTTCCTGTGATAAAATGATATGGAAAATTGAGTTTCTGGCTCTGTGATGAGCAGAAGTCCCATAACAACCCTCAGCTCAGGGCTCTGACTCGGATGTTCTGTGTGAAATCTGGGACATGTGGGCTTGACCAGCAATGTCACCCAGCCAGAGCACCCAGACATACACCAGCCAGAGCTCTGATTTCATCCCAAGTGCAGGCAGGGAATTGAGCTTCCCAAGTGGTGTTCCTGGCCGTGCCACGGTGTTTCTGTGTGGCCTTGCGCAAGGAGCCCAGAGGATTTCAAGCAGTCAGAAAACAGAAGGTTTTGCCTGAGCTACAGCACAAAACAGACCTCATGACCCAACACGTGGACTCCTTACAAGCCTGCTATCATTAATCAGGCCTGGAAACAGCCTTCTCCTCCCCCTCCCTGTTCCTGTAGTCTGGGATGTCTCTGCAGGATAAGCAGAGGAGCGGGATGTTTAACTGGGATGGGTGCACCTTTCAGTGAGCCAGTGGGCTGAGCCTGCCTGCTTGTTTTACTGCAGCAGGATCCATGGACTGCCAGATAAGTCATCGTGGGGTAATTACACACCTCCACAGTGATGAAAATCTCCTCTTGGACCACTGACTGTCTCCTGAGTCAATCCAGCTATTCCTTATCCACTGAGCATCTCAGTGACAGCCCCAAAGAGAAGTGCCCCTTGTGGGAATTGGGAAATTGGCCTTTAAAGTCTGTTCTGTCTCTTAGGAGCCACCAATCTGTCACAACATGCTGCCCACCACAGCTGGGTGAGTGGGACAGGGCTAAACCCGGCCCTGGTCTGGGATGGAAGTCCAGCCCCAGTTTCCATCGGCAGAAGAGTACAATGAGTTGTGGGCTCACACATTTCTAACCTATTTTTTAAGCTCCAGTATAAACTAATGTGCTGGCTCTGAGGAATCTTATGAGAAAGCTAAAAATATCTCTAATGAAAACCATCTTTCCCAGGCTGATCCTTCAGGTGCTCACGGTGCCCTCCGCAACCTCCGCAGCTTTGGAAGCAGGCGAGCCTGGAAAGCAGCTGCCAGAAAAAGTCTCTGCTTGTAAAGCACCTCTGATTCCCAAGGCAAGTTGGGTCTGTGCTCTTGTACATTAGTGAAAACAAATATTTGGCTCAGGAGGAAAATAAAGGGCAAAAACGTCTATTTTCTTTTTTCTGCACACAGTTCCCCTGCAAGAAATTACGCCTTAACTTGGAGCTGCAGAGCGCTCTCATTTCAAACATTATAAAACCCCAACTTCCCATTTTATGCTTCTAATTAACTGAACAACATTTGGGGGAATAAAAGCAACTTCATAAGGTCAAGGTTTTGCCATACACAACCTATGGCTGGAGCAAGAACTCGGGGTTTCTGTCAGTTGTGCTGACATTGTTTCCCTTAATCCATTTGGAAGGAAACAACAGAAACACTGGACGTTCCTGAAAAGTTCTGGGTCAGAGTTACACTACTCAAGCTCTAGCAGAGATGGGTGGTCATTTAAAAATATTCCAATATATTAAAGTGTTTAATAACATATATTCAAAAATAGCCATAAATAATGTGCTTGTTAGAGTGCCTTTTTTAAAAAAAAAAGAAGTAAAACAACGCTGATGCCTGCCAAAACATTCCTTCATCTGGGAAAAGCACTGGGCCAGCATAGAACAAGCCAATGCATCTTACATCTAAAATAACCTCCCAGGATGCAGTTATTCAGATGAATTTGAAGTCTAAATAACACCCTCTAACACACAGCTTTTCAGAGTGGAAAAAACTAAAGTCTGGATTCTTCTTCCACACAAGATTTCAGCAGAGAGAAGCACTGTAAGGCTGGAGAGCTTTGTGCAGATTGCTGAGAGAACACAAAAGGTGAAGGAAGCAGTGAGAGTGCAGGGGTCTCGCAGAGTGTTTTCCTCCCTCCTGTGTTTCTTTCTGTGTCACCTCTTTGCTGACAGACCCACTCCTAAAGAGGAACAAACCCCCCGAGCCTCCCCTGGAGGGCGAAGGGGCCGGTGCTGTCCCAGCCATGGTGGGGCCACTCCAGATCACTGGGAAAATGGGAACCAGAAGTTCTCCTCTGTCAAGAGACAACTGGCACCACTGGCTCTACGTGAGCCATACAGAGCCAGTGGCACGGGCACGATGTGCAGCCAAGCCACGAGTCCTGTGCTGTCACCCTGAGCCATCGCAGTGACACTGATGGGCAGGGGGCTCCTGCACCACCCCAGTTGTGCTGAGATGTGAACTAATTCAATAAGAGGCAGAAATAACAAGACAAAACAACTAAAATTGTTTTGGGTGTCTTTCCATCAAAGCTAGGGCCTTACATTCCGGGTCTCCTTAGCTGGCTCCTCAGAGTCACAGCCAGCAGACCTCGCTGCTGGCCTTGTTTTAATTACTGCTCGGGTTTTTTTCTGTTTACAGAACCACTCTAAAAATATTTCCATTCCCAGATGCTTTGCTGAGCTTAACGTTTCTGTGACTATGCTGCCAAATCCAGTGTCATCTTGTACATCGCACACATTTTTGTAATTACAGCTCAGACAGATTTTCCACAGATGATATTTCAGCGTCTGCGAGAGGGACACTCCTTCCATCTCCTCTGTCTGAGGGGAGTGCAGTGCTGCTGAAAGATGCTGCTCTGGGATTCTGACCCTCTCAGGCCTGGGAAATGGATAAAGAGGGATGAAAAAGACGTTACTACTGACTGCATGTGGGGAAGTGGGTCTGTGCAGAAGCCACCTAACACAGGAGTTGATTTAATACCTGATCTCTGCACCCTCCAGCTGCCCTTCTGACTTCTCCTCTCTCCCATCTGTATCCCCTTTCCTTCAGATTCAAGTGATTTGCCACCAGAAGCAGTGAGTTGATACCCCAAGAATAACTGCAGGCAGCTGTAACTAGAACTGAGCAGGATGTTCCCTTTTGCAGCATCACACAAACCCATCACTTCCAAGAAATGGCTGAAAAATGTGTGACTGGGCAAAGAATAGGTCAAATTCTCTAAAATGTGGAAGTTGTCTGCAAAACGAAAAGCCCCAGCAAGCACACATGGACACTGACCCTCTGCACACACGGTTCAAGCCCACACAAGCCCCCTGGCACAGTCCTTCTGTTCATTGCATCGCTGCCGTATTTGAGATTTCTTCATTTGAAGTTCTAATATAAATAGGGATCCATCATGTAATCCCAAACTGATTTATCCTAACCTCAGACAACTTCCAGAAACATGCTGTGTGTTAATACAGACCATCTCTCCACTCCACAGGCCAACAAAAGCAATTGGCTCCCACTGAATCCCTTGCCTTGGCCTGGCCTGCATCCCTGCGCTGAAACGCTGGAGGAGGACCCGGAGATGTGCTCCCTGCCTCCTGCCCATGTGGTTCTGATAAACACAGAGGTAATTCCAGGACGTGCAAGGCCCCTTTTTGTTCTGTTTCACTTTCAATAGAAGTGGCTGCTCCTCTCCTCCCTCCCTCAGCAGTGACTTGCTGTATCTGAACCACAAAGACGCAACAAAGGAATCCTGCCCAGCGGAGCACCCGGAGCACCAGCAGTGATGGAGAGATGATGTGAGAACTGAGTCACAGGTTTTAAGGTGGTTGTAAGCTCATTTTGTGCTCTCCTGAGTCACAAGCCCAGGTACCAGCTAGCCCTGGAAAGCTGCCTTGTCCACGCCAGCACATTTTGGGGGAATTCTAGAGCATCCCACTCCAGGCAGTGCCGCCGATTCATCATCGGAGCCTGTGTGGGCTTTGTGGGGGTCAGAAAACATTTAAAAAATTAGATCCATGCTTTGATGGACCTTAACTAGAAAAAATCACTGCAAAAGGCTCTTTCTCTCTCTAAAACTTCTTGCTGGGCCTGCCAGCAGCTTCCTACAGCCCAGCTCCATGCTTGTCCCAGCACAGAGCCGGGAGCCTCCTGCAGCCTCTGAGGGCAGGGAGCTCCAGAAAAGAGGGGGATGGATGGATGGATGGATGGATGGATGGATGGATGGATGGATGGATGGATGGATGGATGGATGGAAAAGGCTCGCTGTCTCCAGTTCCCTTCATTCCTGGCCTATTCCTTGTATTTAGTGGCAATATTTTATATTTTAGCAGCATCTCTCCAGAAAATGAGAGAATATCATCCCAAACTGCAGAGAAACACCGCTTGGATCAGTTATCCCTAATCCCTCCCAACAGACCATGTCACAAGGCAACCTGACAACTGTGGGTAGAATAGGGCAACCACAAACACCAACAGAGGAGTCACTTCTGAGCCTCTGCTCTGTTCTGAGCTTTCACCACTCTGCACAACTGGCTTAATGGATCAATACAGAGCTATAGGAAGGTGTGATTTATACACACATGTACAGACACAAATGTGTAAAGAACAAAAGCCACCAGTCCTGAAAGGAGAGAGACAGAGTTTTGGTCCTGCTCTGTTGTTATTTCAGAAACACTACTGGACAACCATGCAGTGAGAGGCTTTTACTTGCCCTGTCTGGTCTGCATCTACTTTCCCACATTTTCTTGATCACAGGGGCACCACCAAACTCGACACAGATCCTGCCAGCTCTGCTCCTCAGAGCTTCAGGAACTGCCCCACGTCCTCCCATGGATCAGGTTTCATGAACAGAGACCCCCACTTTTGGCAGATGAATTCCAACACTGCACATTATGGCAAACAGTTGCTCATGAGTGTAATGCAAAGCAGGTTTGCAGTGCTGGGTGCAGGCAGCAGGAGCAGGGCAGCCCTGCCTGCCTGGATCCCACGGGAACACTCTGCCTGGTACAGCCACCCCAGCAGGTAAAACCTGGAAAAGGTTGGAAATTCCTTTTAAAGAAGAGATTCCTCCCTATGGTGATCCATCTTATCCTTTCCTCGAAAACTGCTGCACCTTCTGGGGCTGGCGCTGCCAAGAACTCCCCATTTCAGTTTGTCCCATGTTTTATTCCACGGGGCGGAGGCGGCAGAATCTCTGCACACCACAAGAAAGGGAGCTGCATATTCCAGAGACAATTAGGAGATGACAGACCACAGCACACTTACATGTGAGCGGCAGCAGCCCGTCACCACCGACACGAGTGCTCGAGTTCAGGGCTGGAGCAGAGGGCTGGGATGGTTGGCACTGTCCTTTACTTGTGATCCTTCTGCTTCTGGATTTTTCCAGCAAAACATGGGGCACTTGGGGAACCAGCACCTTCAGTCTCACTGCGCTTGTTTGGGTATCATCATGTACTGGAGGCAGCTGTGGCCAGATGTGCAGCTGTGCAGCGCTGGGCACGGTGGGTTCAGCTTCCCTGGATGGCTTTTTCCTGCTCACATCACCCTTCCCAACTGGAACACTCAGGCTTGCACAGAAAACTCTGGAGCGTGACCATGCTCTGAGAAAACCCAGCAAACGGCCCCTGCAATGCCACTGCCTGGGAATTCTTTCCACTTGTATGAAAATATCCCTCAAATCACGGAAAAATGTGTCAAATAAAGCTGTGAGGGAGAAGTGGTTTAATTAAAGCAGCAGCAGATGCTGGAGGCAGGCTCTGAGTTCCAGTCAGTTCCATTCTGAGCCTCCAGTTTGGGGCAGGCAAACAAAAATATTTCAAGAAATTGGCCCAAACTTGGTGCCTGGATGGGAATGTTTGGACATGCACTATCCAGGCAGATGCATGACCAGCATCCCAGGGAAGAGGTTTTGGGATTATTATGGCCACAGTTCCACACACAGCCACACTTACTGTCACTTGTCTGTCACACCCGGTGCCCACAGCGTGGGCTGGGGAAATAGCTGAGGTCAAAATGAAGCCTGACTTGAACCTCCTCATAATCTAGTTTATGTATCTGCTCTGAAAATGCCATATCTGACAAATCCAGAACCAAAAGCAGAAGCACCAAAGCACTGGAAGTCACTTCTCCTGAACCAGAACAAACTGGGGAACTGCAGAGCAGCCACAGCTGTACGTGACCACCCAGAAGAACAGCAAATGCTCTGAACCCAGCAACAGAAACATGTTGGGGAGGACAACCAGGACACAAAGGAACATCCACCAGCATCATGCCATGGTCCCTGCACAGAGGGCAGGGAGGAGTGAGGAAGCCAAGGCAGGTGTTTTCTGTACACTGCCATGGATTCACCAGCAGAAAAAGGCTACAAGGGTTAGAGGTGCCCAGGCAGGGCCTTACCGATGCAGGTCCTGCCGTCCGTGTGCAGGCGGGAGCCCGGCCGGCACTCGCAGTAGTAGGAGCCCAGGGTGTTCACACACCTCTGCTGGCAGCCCCCGTTGTGGACCTGGCACTCGTCCACATCTGCAAAAAAGAGAGGGAGAAACTCAGAGGGGTGGGCATGGGGGGGTCTGGGGTCAGCATTATTGGTCCTCTGCTGCCTGACTCCAGACCTGGGGAACAAATGCAGAGATTGGTCATTTCCTTATGTTCCATCAGCCAAGCTGTTCACGGAATTTCAGGGACAAGCCCCCAACTGGTGAACAGCAACCAAAAAAAAAGCATCTTATTTGTCAGTCAGCATAAACCTTCCCTGTCTGGTCACCTCGCAATGGTCACCTTTCCCATTCGCTCCAAGAGGATGGATTAACTCATATTTTACACTTTTTTGCTTTGGGTCTATTCGTGTTTCTCTGCACTTTCTGCACCTTCAGCCCCCCCAGCCAGCGAGGGGGCCACACCAGCAGCAGGACGATCCAGAGCCGAGTTGAGCGATCCTGCCATCCCAGCCACTGTTACTGATGAGATAAAGAAACATTTCCTGAGTGAATCACGGCAGGGCGTGGACCCGGCCCTGTCCTTGCATGCCAGAGGTGCAGGAACCTGCCCAGCACCGCAGCCCCCAGCAGCCCCCAGAGCCCAGACTGCTCCAGGAGCGAGCTCTGGCTCACCTACAGCTCCCCCCAGGGAGCCAAAGGGCACCAAAAACCACGGGGAAAGGAGAAACTCAGCCTCGACTGAGCCCAGGGCTGTAATTTTACATAAATCAGATTAATTGCCACAAAAATCAGCGAGCAGCAAGGAAAGGTCTGGTCAGGGCCAGGACGGGAAGCGAAGTGCGAGAGGTGACGCGGGTGTGACTCGGTGCTCCTGAGCTGCACAGTAACAACACAAAATTACTGTTTTCTCAGAACACTTCTCATTGCAAGGCTTCTCACTGCTTAAAACTTTAAAACCTAAGGCTCAGAGCTCGTGCAAAGCCTCTGCCCTTCCTGTCCCAGTGACTCCCAGCGAAGTCACAATGCCCTCTGCCCCGGCCATGCCAGGCTCCTCCTGGGAGCTCCCACTGCAGCTGTGGTCTCCATTAACCCAGAAAAAAAGGCTGATTTCTGTAATGCCAGCCCTTTGCTCAATTCAGTGGACTGAGCCTTTTAGAAGGTTTTGGTATTTTCTTCCTGTTTTTTCCAAGGCACTTGACTTTGAAAGAAAGGAAAATGAATAGATTTTTGAGGTGAAACATAAGCATTGAGTGATGCTCTCTGAAGAGTGAGCCAAAGCCAGAGTGGCTTTTTAGGGGGAAAAATGCTGTGGTGTGAGGCTCAGATGCCGGGCAAAGCAACCTAATCCTGATTAAACAATTTTCCTCTGCGAAGGCTTTAAACACTTGGGATGCTGCAGAGCCCTAGAGCCCCTGAGGCACTCGCTGCTCATCTCTATGGGCAGGATTAGCTATTAATACACAGAACTGGCTCTGTTTGGCTCAAGAACAGGAAAACTGGGGTTTGGGAAGATTTTATATAGTGTAGTAAAGTTTTCTGTCTGAATTTAAATGACTATTCCACTGCTTCCCTTCAACTCTAATCTGAAACCGTAGAGAATTTACCGTCCAAGAAAGTTAGTGATGTGTTGAATAAACTTCTTACTTTCACCCCATTACTCACACTCAGTAATTTTACATCTCCTCTCTCAATGTCTCCTCTTCCCCCTTTGTACTTTTCACCCTCTAAATCTCAGTGATTCCAAAGGCTGTCCCCACCCCAATCCCCTCTGCCTCATCCCCTCTTGGCCTGGGAGAGTGGCCAGTCCTTCCTCACACTGTGGCTGTAGAACCACCCATCACCTTCACTGCCACGTGCTCCCACATAACCCACCACATCCTATTGGCCCTCCTGGAGCCTCACTTATCTCCTCTGCAATGCCAGAGACATTTTGAGACATACCCTGCATGATGGTGTGACCAAAATAACACTGTCCCCGGGGACAGGGAGGGGGCAGACCCACCAGCCACCCCCAGCAGTGGCAGCTCCTCCAGCCTGTCCTGGCATGCCCAAGGCTTGCCAGTGAGTGAGTCACCCAGGAACAGGGACGGGAAAGCAGCAGGAGCTGATCCCAGGGCCAGGAGGAGCATGGCTGTGAAGGGTCACGTTGCCCTTGGTGCACATCTTGGCAGCAGCACGACCCGAATCCCTCCGTGACACTCCGTGAGCTGCGGTTTGGGGCACGGCGGGGTTATTTTCCTACTGGAGAGCTGACAAAATCTGGTTGAAATTAATATACCAAAGGAAGCAAACGAGAAGCATACAGGCTTCTCTTCAGCTGACTCTGAGCAAGCCAGAGCCGTGCCAGGACGGAGCGTGCCAAGCCCATGGCCTGCCTGCTCTGCCGTGCCAGCACGGACACGGCCGTGGGGACTGGCCAGAGCCCACGGGGGCAGGAACCCCACGCAGCAAGAGCTGGGGAGTGGGGCTTGGATCACATCCCTGCTGTGTAAGGAAACTGGAGTTCATGTCCTCATCTGCAAGGACACGGGGATCAGCAAAGGACCAGCCAATGCTCTCGTCAGCCTCTTCCCTGAGCAGGAACAATCCATCAGGCCCCAGACACCGGCTACGTGGGCTAACACGGGTATTGCTGCCATCAAACACAGGGGAGAGGGACACAAGAGCAAAAGAAAGGAGACAGTGCAAGGAGATGGCTTTGGCTGAGTGCACTCCCTGACCACACTCAGGTCCCTCCAGCAGGAATACTGATCTGTCTCCAACCAGAGCTCCCTGTCAGGGGAAAGAAAGTGGCAGCAGCAGGTCTGCAAAGTATTAAATATCTGGTATGGAGGCAGTTTATCTCCTCTGCAAGGCTGAGGAGGAGGCGATGGATCCCAGCTGGAAGCACAGGCAGCAGACCCGCTGCCGAGGTTCGCTCTGTCTGGCCGAGCAGCAGTGCCAGGCTCTGATCCCTGCGGCAATTAGCCCGGATTACAGAGCAGGGCTGCGGGGAAAAGGTTAATTAAAATCCATCGAGATGAGCATGTGTGGGATCCGGTGACTTTATCTTTCCCGTACCGGTTTGTTGAAGCTAACTCAGCAATTTTAAGAAGTAGAGACTGGAAGGAGAGGACCCAACAGCAGCACACTGGCTGCCAGCTCCCGGACAGGGGGGCACAGCATCACTGCTGTCATCCTGCAGCATGGACATGATTAGGAACCCAGGGCATTAGAAAGAAAACCCCCTCTGCACTATTTTGGCACTTGCACATATTGCACAGCCCCTACCATGAATAACCTGGAGACTTTGTGTGCCCTCTTATTGCACACTCCCTGTGTGCAGACAGGAATCAGCAATGGCAAACACCAACAATGCAAGGATGCCACAGGAGAGGACGATGCCTCAGGTCCCCTCAGCTACCCTGAAAGCCTTTCCCTCCTCTAGGTTGGGGAAGGAGGGTACCAGCCTCAGGTTGGTCTCAGCTGGGCATGTGAGTGACTCAGGGAGGGCAGAAGGAAGGCCATTTGGGCGGTCAGAACACCTCCACACCCTCAGCTTTCATCTTGTCCTAAACTAGGAATTTGGAAAAGCCTGAAGGCTCTTAAAGAGCTCCACGGAATTACTGGAACTGGCATTCCTCCTGCTGCAGCCTCTCCTAGAGAGGTGGGAGGTGCCCACAGCTTCCCCAGGCTACCTGTGCCATCCACAGGAGCAGATTCCAAAGGCACTTCAGGAACGGAAGCATTGGCTTTGCAATAATCCAGTGAAGCGAAAATGCATCAGGGAGCTGGTTTGCCTCAGTCCTTGGCATTGTCCTCAGCTCACCTTTCCCTGCCCCCGAGCACTGTGGCTGGGAGAGTCGCTCAGCTCCCCCTCGTGCTCCCACCTCTGTCTCTGGGTGGGTTTTAATTAGGGCATTACTCAGCACAGAGCAGAGGTGCACGTAACAACAAGCAGGCAGCCTGCTCTGGACTTGCTGCTGCTCTCACCCACTCCAGCCTTCTCTCAGCACTCTGTTTTACCCTGTTCCCTGTGCAAGCTGCCTCCCTGCCTGGCAGATGCCCCTGTGCAGAGGCACAGTGGTTTGGTCCCTGTGCTGCACTGTGGGAGCCAACGGCACAGAGTGAACACCAACACATGCCTGGGAATGGTACCCACGGGTGGAAATGCAGGTCACTATTGAAGGAGCTAATGGAAACTGTGATCAAACACCAGTCACCAGTTCTGCTGTTTCCTGGCTGGTTTAGAGGCTCAGAGAGGCAATATCACTGCACCAGGTCTACATCACTGGGATGATTGATTGCAAGTCCCATCGGAGCACAAAGCTCCTCCTGTAAGGGCAGCTGTGTAAGGACACAACACCCAGCACTGCCATCAGCCATTGCACCAACACCAGGACCCAACAGAGCCCTGTTTGTACACACAAGGCATGTTAAGGCACTCGAGACCTCAATGAAACCTCCACTGTTACTACACAAACCCCCTCTTCACTCTCCCGTCACACAACAAAGCCGCCGGTGACGCGCACACAGCAGAGCCTTGTGCCCTGGCAGCTGCTTTGTGAGGGGACACGGCTGTGGGGACGTCTGTGCTGTCTGGGTGGGCAGACAGGAACACTCTGCAAGGAGACCAGCACACAGACCCTAAAAATCACACCAAGAAAACATCTGGGACCCTAAAAATCACACCAAGACAATGTCTCCTCCTACCTGTCAAAGAAAAGCTCAAGCAGCAAAGAAAAAATTAACCAAACCCAGTGATACCAGTTTAGGATGAGCCACGAGATGGATGAACACCAGGAAATTCCCTCGGCCATGCAGCCTCAGAGGCACCTCACAACAAGGCAGGATAAAACCACGACCATGCACAGAGACACCTGTCCGCAGAGATAAGCAGAATCAGGATCCGGTGAATTCTGCATTAGAGAAAGGAAGGCTGGAGGTTTATATTCCAGCCACAAAGCTGGATCTCGGGAGCTTATCTTGGAGAATTACAATGAGCCAATACAGTTGGATGGAGACAGCAAACACAATCTGTGTTTGAGACAAACATCTGATCTATAAATAACAAAGCAGCAACTCGCCCTGTTTCCGAAGGTCTGG